CCGCCGGGACACCGCCGGGACACCGCCGGGCGTTTTCCCCCGGGAGTGCTGCGGCTTCGCAGCGGGCTGTGTCTCGGAGAAGCCGGAGCGCTCGCAAGGGACACCTGAGGCTGCGGTGTTGTTTTGGGGTCCGAGGGTGTCGGTCACTTGTGAGTTTGGCTGGTGCTTTTCGGTACCACAAAAGGCACGGTGCGCATCTGCCTCGAGCCTCGCAGGTTCTGCACACCCCTCCCTGACATCTCTCCCAACACACACTCCCACCCTCCATCTTGACCCCGGTGAAAACCGTGGCATTTCCCTCTCAAACTGGGCTGCACCAAAACCGGTGGAGAACCTGTGGAAGGAAAACGTATGGTGGGTCTGTTTTAGGAAGACAGGCTTCACTTTCGGGAGAGGGGAGAGAAAGAGAAGAATAGATGTTTTAATTTTTCTGCATTAGAAAGGAAACCTCAACCTTGTTTCGTGTGTGTGTGCCTACCCGCAGGCAGCTTTTCCAGCCCCCCGGACTCCTGCCCTCCCTCACCGTGGTTGTGGCTGCCATTTCCTGCTGCCTGTTCAGGCCTTGGGCTTTGCTGTTTTCTTACCAATTGTAGTTTAAAGCCTCACTCCACGGATTTCCTAGGATCAAATTCAGCTTCCCTCACACCTCCCAGGGTGCAGTTTCTGCTAAGCTGGAGCAGTTGATCAGTCACCAGAACATTAAGGACCTTCCTTGTAGGACGGTAGAGCAGAGAAGCCATGACACAGAGCAGGCCCAGAGGGATTTGCACAGTTCCTTCACAAACCACAGCTGTGCGTGGTCTTCCCTCATCTTTGTCAGAGCCTTGTGGAATGCTCTGACACAGGGATGTGAAGTGTCCTGCGTCAGTCCATTTCAAAACAGTGTGCTCTAGAGTGTTTATGTGATGCAGTTTCCTCTGCCACACAGAACCTGATGGGTGTTTGCCTAGAGCTGGATATCCTGCAGCATGAGGTGAACGAGTGATGGTTTTTCTCATACCCTGAGTGGTGGTTTGTGTCTGCCTATGCTCTGGTGTCAGTGTCAGTCCAGCTGCTGTCACTTCTACCAAGAGAGCAGCCCCCTACCTGTTGGCAATATCCTTTGTGTGATTGCACAGTGACCTGATCCAGCTGAGAGCCAGGAAAAAAAAGAAGTGCAGGGGGGCAGGGGGAAGTTAGTTTTCAGTGGGATCAGTTCCTTGCTCCAAACACTTGCACAAGCGAAACAGAAGACTTGGCCTGGGCACAAGAAGAAACAGCGTGGGCAGAGAGGGAACACAGTGTCCACATCAGCTAAAACTGATACTGGTATCATGTATGTCGAAAAATACCCTGAGGGCTCTTGATATGAAAGTTGTTGAGACATAATCTTCCACACCTAGACACTTCTGAACTTACCTGGTAAGCTAGAAGTAGAGGAGCTGGTAGTGGTGGTATCATCACACCTTCACAAAGTTGTTTTTTTTTTCTTGAAATATACCACCTTTTACAGGGAGAGAGGGAGGGAGGAAGGAAGGAAGGAAAGAAGGAGAAACATCACAAACCAAAATTCTCAGGTTTTAAAATATGGCCATTATGTTCCTGGGTTGTTTTTCTAGTGCTGCACCATGAAATGGAGAAGTCTTTTCCACTTCCCTTTCTCCTCTCCTCTTCCTGTGGCAAAATACAGATGTACCTTAAACGGGGTGGGGGGGGAGGGGGGAAGGTGCCCTGTTGATTCTTATGACGGTATTGCTTTTGGTTTTTTTCTTTGTTACTAGATTATAGGATTGAAAACAGATGTTTCTTTTCTTTAAAACATGCTGTATAGCTTGTCTAAACATAAGGAAAACAGCATTTCTCCAGACAATGCTAAGTTCCATCCAAGATTGGAGTCATCTTTATCATGAGGCAGTTGCACTGTAGTAGATACTTGGATGAAATGTGCATCCAGACTCCTCCAACATCACAGTTCAGAATTTAGTTGTTTTCTGTTTCCATTAAAAGCTTGTAATTTCCAAGATTCTCTAAAATTATTAAATGAACGAGTACAAAGGGGAGATGGGGGACATATGTGTTCATCTACCTGCCTCTTTCCTTCATGCAAAATAAATGCGTGCTCACTTGTTTCAGAAAAATTGTTTGCTAGAGATCTATCTACCAGACAGTGGTTCACATGTAGGGAATACCTTTTGCAGGAGATTAAGAGCTTTTTCTAATGAGTGAAAACTCTTCAGAGTTTTTAGAGAGTGAAAGCAGACAATAGACTTTGCTTTTTAATCTAGGTAGACTTTGCTGCTGACATTTTGTCACACTTATTTGTTAGTTGGGATCCTCTGTTTTCAGGGGAAGAGTTCTTGTTGGGCACATGGGAGTACCAGAGTGGACACTGGTTTTGTGAATAGGAATGCTGGGGACACATGGCTATTGGCAGGTTGGAGACACCGAGCATCAGTGCGCTGGTAGGAAAAATTCAAGTCCAAATCAATGTGCTTATGTAAACTCATTTAGCAGTTGTGTTTCTCCACAGGATGTTCCTGAAAGTTTGCAGGGAAACAGCTTTGGCTTTTATTTAGAGCTAATTTCTGCTAACAAGAATAATCTTTGTGCTTTTACTTGCTTATGTGTAAGTCTGGAAAATCTTGATTCCCGAGCAGATAACATGGATTAAAGCAATAACATTTCTGGCCAAAACAGCTGACAGTGGCCAGGTGCTACTCTGATGGTGCTTGATGACAGTGACCCTTTTCCCCTCATCTTGGCATTTTTGGATGGCAGTCATGTGGCCCCAGAGGCCACGCTGTAGAAGCTAATCCACTGCCCAAGGCATCTGCTCCTTGGCAGGCTCTGTGGACATCTGCATAGGTGGATCTACTTTCTGTCACATGGCCAGGTACCTGGGGGTGCAGCGAGGGACCTGCTTTGCTGTTTTGGTTTTTTTTTTTTTCTTTCCTTTTGGTTTTCTGGAGCTTCCTGAATAAACCAAGAGGCGTTTTCTTTATAAGGAATTGGCTGTACATCGCATATGTCCCTCTATTGTTCATGCTGGGAGAAACTGCACTGAAACAGGATCTTTGTTTCTGGCACCCCTGTCTCTCTCCCTGTACTCAGGCTGAAGTCATAGCACTCTCTGGGAGTCATTAACATTGGTTACTCTAGAAGCAATTGTGTTTTTGTATGCAGCTGTTTATAATTTCAGGTCTGTGAGGGAACGAGCAATGAACTTAGAGAAGCAAAGCTACTTGGGAGACATTGTGCTATTTGCTGGGAAGAAGTAAGGAAAGTTTGGGAAAATAAAACAGCCGGAAGGCAGGGAGGTATTGCACGAAGTGGGTAGTTGCAAAATGAACCTTATAAGGGAACAGATGCTTGGCCTCACCAAGTTTAGAGGACTAGAACTAGAAAGGCATACTAGATGATTGCATTTTACACTAGCTTGAGTTAGGGAGCGGGATGAAACAGTTTTGTAACTCTTGTAATAAGCTATGAGGTGGTTAAAGCATTTGCTGTTGTTATTTTTAGGAATAGAGAAGTCTTCCCCTGTTATCGTTCACTGGCAGGATGGCAGCATTCACCTTTCCTCCCACTTCCCCAGGCTGATCTTCCGCCTGATCTTCCTTCCTGCTCCCAAGGCTCAGCTTCTCTAGTTTTCATCACAGGTTACACACAGTCCTTCCCACTCCTTTCAGTGAGGTGACGGATGGCACATGGCATTGGAGTTGTGTGCCTAATGATTTTTACCTGCTGCTTTTTGCATCCTAGGAAGTGTTCCTCTGGGCTTTCCAGCATTGCTGTTGTAGTGTGGGACCTTCACAGGCTGCAGTCACTCAGGGGTGTCTCTGGCTCAGTGAATGTTGCCTTCTTGAAGAGAGTGTCTTCAGCCCTCAGCATTATCTCCATGTTCTCCTAATACTCATCTCACATATCTTCTCACAAGTCTTCTCCATGTTTTTCCTGCATCTTTTTATCTGTATACAGTTCTGTGTCACTTAACTTCTCTCCTTATGGCTGCAATTCATGCTTAAATATGAGTGGAGGTGCCACATGCTCCTTTGGTTGGAGTTTTGACTCACTGTGGGCTGGTCCCATCTGTTTCAAAGCCACAGGAGTTGGTTGTGAGTGGCTCAAGGCACAGTGGCTCAAGCCCACTCTGTGGGCTCTACCCACAGAGGCAACCCCCACAGCTCCTGACACTGAAACCCTGCCAGTTTTGCCCAATTTACTTCCTTTTCATCTCTGCCTATCTCTTGCAGTGTGTCACTGGATTCTATCTCTAGGTTATCTCAGGATTTACTTCCAAGCAACATTACTTTTAAAGTATTGATGGTTGTCTTGTATGAGCTACATACTGGAAAAATGTAGATTTTTTTCCCCCCCATTAAACCTTTGTTCCTGGAATCACGTGATTAAACTATCACTTTATTTTTAACGTGAACTCATAGCTCTTGTGCTTAAAGAGGAAATCTTCAAAATGTAGATTGTAGAAGGCAAATATAAAAAGAAATATTATGGGAATTATTTTTGTGTCTTAGCTTTTGGAGCCAGTTCATAATGTGTAAGCCCTAAGGGTTTGGAATACCAGGGAAGGAGTTGCTTCTCTGTTGTCTCCATATCTGCAAAACTGTAATGATCTCTGTAACTCTTTCATGTTGGACAGATTCACAGAATGGGTAAGGTTGGCATCCCTGCTTCAGCAGCATCATCTTAGAGTATATGGCACAAGATTGTGTCCAGACAGTTGTGGAGTATCTCCAGTGTGGGAGACTTCACGTCCTCTCTGGGCAGTCTTTTCCAGTGATCATTCGCTGCACAGTAAAGAGATTCTTCTTCATGTTCAGGTGGAGCTTCCTGGGTAGCAGTTTCTGCCTGTTGCCTCTTGTCCTATTGCTTGGCATCACCGAGAAGAGCCTGGTCCATCCCCTGACACTTCCCTTCAGGTACGGATAGACCTTGATGAGGTTCCCTCTCAGTCATCTCTTCTCAAGGTTGAACAGGCCTAACTCTCTCAGCCTGTTCTCATAAGAAACATGCACCAGTCGCTACCAAATATGGTAGTTTACATTTCAGCACATTTTTGTCTGCTTAGGTCACAGCCTACAGTGCTCTATGAATTACTAGTTGAATAGATACATGCACAGTGATAAGAACGGACTAGCTGCAAAGCATAGTCTGCAGCAATGAAGAACAATCTGGATTTAAAAGAAAAAATGCCACTAACGTTGCTCTTTATAGAGAGTATTGTGGAAAATTAAATTTCTCAGAATCTCTGAAAATGTAAACTCTTAATTTTGAGTCTTTTCTGCAAGACATTTTTCTTAAGAAATAGCTAACTCTGTGTTTACCCCCATAACACTATCTTCACCTTCCTTTGGCAAGTTCAAAAAATGCTTCATGTACTGTCAAGCATAACTCAACTGCTCACTCATTTCAGCTCCTTAGTTTAATAACCTCAATACAGCCAAACCTGTCATCTTCTAATGCTAAAGTCAGAAACTATTGACCAAGAAACTGATTTCCATTCCAGGGATGATCACAACTACACTTGAGACTTCCTGCAGACCCATGGAAATGAATCTTTTAAGTCTATGGTTTGCCCTCGAGACTTTTGTCACATGTTGAAGCCTTGACCATCCAAAGAGTATAAACCTGTATAAAACTGTATTTTATACACAGTGCATAAAGTAGAAGGCACACATCAGGCTGCTTTCAACTACTACTTTTTGCTGGATAGAAAACCACCACAGCTCAGCTTGGGACCTCGCAGGGGAACATCAACACAAGGGTAAGTCTTCATGGATAAACATAATGTTGTCAGATTTTCCCTGCTCCCCCTCAGGGGATTGTTATGACTATAGCAGAGGTTGTAGAAACAACCTCTGGACAAGGAGGGTTTGTGTTCCTTTTTTCACTACTTAAAGACACCTCAAAGAGTCATGTACTCCTGATAGCCACAGGGGTGTGGCAGCCTCACCTTGTGTTTCTCTTAGGTTCCTTGGCTTCAGCCTCTGTATGCCTTTGGATGGGAACACCACCCATTCCTGCAGGTGTGACGGGATATTTGGAAAGACAGATGTGAAGGCATGGAGAAATGTGGCTGGATCAGAATTCAGCAAAGCTGCTGCAAGACCACTTGGAACAGTTGCAGTGCCTTGACCCAGTGAGATAGATCTGTGTAGTTCATTTGGATGTGTGGAGAGGGAAGTCAAGATTGAAACTTAAATCTGGAGCTCTGTGCTGCATGCAAGTAAGCAAGGGGTGCTTTTCAAGGGTGGAGAAACCACTTTGAAAGGTTATGTTATAAAAATATAGGTGTCAAGTGCTATATTTGCCACTCCTGGTTCAGGCTAAATGCATTTTACAGTGTTCTTAAAATCGAGGCATTTGATTTAACATGGTTTAATGGATTTGTGTGTCCTCAGTCTGCCATGAACTGACTTAAAACCAGGACAATTTCGACGTATAAACAAGACATAAAAAAAAAGGAAAATGAAAAAAATCTTAATAGGTTGTGTCTCTTCTTCATCTTTAGTTAGTCAGGAATTATTTCCTATGTGCAGTAGGTGTGGTCCATTATAGAACTACAGTGCAGCAGAAAATCTTTTTCAAATATGAAGCATGAAGGGAGGGGGGGAGCATACTGTCCTGAGTATTACATGCTGACAAACAGATCATTTGTTCCAACTTCTGGAATCAATTAAAACTATGGAAAATAATCTGTGTGCTCATATAAAAAAAAAGAAACAGTATGCAAAGGCATGCTTTGGAAACTTTGGGAGGTTGAAGTCAGACTTGCAATTTCTGAAGCCCCGATTCATGGTTCCTGAATGTGTAGAATTGCTGATTTCAGAGATTTGACCCGTGAAGCGTGAAAGGCAAGTCATCTCCTGACTCTCTGGTGAGGCATGTCTTGCTTGTGCCTCATATTAGAAACCCAGAAGCTCCACGTTCCCAATGTATGGGGAGGGGAGAGCTGTCTGCATTTTGTCAATTCTTTTTTTAACATCTCAAAATCTATCAAGGCCCTGATTTCTACCTTACTTCTTCCTCAATACCCCTCTTCCATGTAGACCTTGCAGCAACAAGTCAGCCTGTGAGTCAGCTGCAAATATCACCAAGCTCTTCCACATCCTTGCCAATGTCCAGGCTGTTCCCAAACACTAGTCATCAAAGGAAGTCTTTATTTCCACGGCAGTTAAATGACTAACCCAAGATCAAACAGTGGGTCAGTAGCAGAGGCAGGAACTTAAATCAGGTCTTCTGACTCAAGTTTCTCTTGGCTACAGCCTCTGGGTTACACAGCAGAATTCATTTGTGCTGTTAAGTTTCAACAGTTGCTGAGACAAAACTTCATTTTCTTTCCCTGAGATATTGTATCTATGTCATCCTGTTCTCTGCCCGCTAGGATGCAGCTTCTTAGCATTAGACTTTGAAAAGGGAGGCAAGCAGGAGGTGTTTCGAAGTGGTTTCACTCTTTTGATCAATGAGAGAGGTGAGCCAGAGTGTGTTCCAGTGACCTCCTGCTATATAAAAGCTTGGCTTGCCTGACAGGACTTCTGGCTGCTGAGTAGCTGTGAGTCACAGCCTTTACTGCTTTAGTTTGGTGCAGATTGTTACACCAGACACTGCAGAAATGAGGTGGCCTCTTGAATATTTGCACTGCTTGGCAAGCTAGGGTAAATGGGAGTGGATTAAGGAAGTTCTGGCAAGGGCAAGCACAACTGGTGTTAAGGCCTCTGCAGGGCTCCTTTTGTGTGTGTGTGTGTGTGTGTTTGTGTGTGTAGGAAAATAGCAAGGCCCCAGATGGGGTTCCTGGGAAAGGATGAGTAATGTGGAGATTTCCTGTGACTTTTGGAGGGAAGAAAAAAAACACATCGCCTTTTGGGGGAATCTTCTTGGATCTTCCACCATCCTACTTTTTCCCTGAGTGGCACAGAACGCCTGTCTCCTGGGCTCAGTGCTGCTTTGTTTATCACAGCAACACGAGCTATGGTGTGCAAATACTGTGCTCTGCCCTTGTTTGCCTGAACAGTCCAGGATCTGATCTGTGCAATTCCTATTTCCTCCTTGTGGGTGTGCTTTGGAACTTAGCTCCATGTAGGCCAGAGTTACCAGTGGTCAAGGTGTACCTGGCCTGGGATGCTGGGAGTGTTTCCCTTTCCTGACTGAAAGGATCAGGCCTGTAAGGGAGGGACTATGTGGCTGCAGAGTGTTTTGCACAGCACCTGGGATGGCTGGGTTCAGGTTCACGATTGAGTCAGCTGGGTGCTGTTGCAGTGTAAATTACTAAATAGGAATGACAGAAGAGATGTGGGGGTTTCCTGTTGGCAGAGGTATAAAGGAGTGAGGTACCTCAACTCTGAATTTATTACTACTTATTATTTCACTTGCAATATTGCCTGGAGACTGCCTTCAGGGACAAGTGCTCTGTTGTGCAAAGTACGTGCATGCAGGAAAGACAGAGCCATTTCCCACCCTGAAAAAGAGTGTTCTCCAAGTTGTTTGAGCTCTTTGGGGGTGGGGATACTGCAGTGGTACAGGGGCCAGAGTGTAAAGTAAGGAGTGCTGCTACAACTGAGAGCCGTACACAGGCAGTTTAGACATCAGGTGTATGGCCAAAGATCTGCTTCTATTATTTCTGTATGCTCATCACCACTATTTGGCCACGACATTCTCTAACTAGTATTTCTTGATGTGTGCTTAGCCATTTCATGTTCTGAGTGCTTTACAAATATCTTGTAATTAGGAAAACAACTCTCTATTTGCACAGGCAGTTACACAACCTCATGTTCAAAATTCAGCTTTCAGAAATGTAGCCTCAACTGAAATTTCCTTATCTGCTTCTAACTCTCCCAGTTGCTCTTGCCAAAATGATTTTTCATCCCCTCAACCCCATAACTGACTGTGACGATGGTAATAAAATGAGTACAGCCTGGGCAAATAAACTGCTTGCCTCTACAGTGTAAAATGTAAGACTGGTAAAAGAAAGTAAGGGCTGATAGAGAGTACATGTTTTGGATTCCAGCATCAGTCCATTTGCTAAATATGCTGGCTTTTGTAGAAGAAAATCAATGTAAAAGAAAGGGCTGCCTCTCCCAGTGCCTGATCTGCAGTTGCTGAAGCCAGAACCACGGACTCAGGAGCAGCCCAGTTTCTTCACTTTCCCACAAGCCTTGGTGTTGGGGCCAGGGAAGAATTGATCCCTATGACTGCCTGTATGAAGTGTGAGCCATTGACACAAAGCTCAAGACTTGTCTCCCTATCAAAATCCAGGGTATTTTTGTTTAGTTTTGCCTTTTTATTTTTTTTTTCCTTCTCCTCTCTCTCAAAGGTTAAATGGTTCCCACAGGGTGCAAGAAAGGGTTATTGAAAGCAGCAGGTCCACTTCTGAATATTGCACTTCTGGTAAATCTCTGATCCAGCATCTAGTGGTTAACCACTGATACAGGAAATGACATTTAACATTCTATCACTCAGCCAGAAATGGAAGAACAAGGCAAGTCTGTATGTGGTGAAGATGGATCATTGCCTGCTATCTATCCCTTAAAGGCATATCATGCCATTTAAAAGGAAATGTTTTTCAAGCAGGGACTTTTTTTTCCCTTTGTGTACCTTTCTGCTTAAGGCGTAGTAAAAAGCTGGAAAACAAATCCCCTTCTTTCTCCTTCTGCGAGGTTTTCCCTGCTAAAATAGGGACTATGGCCTTATAAACAGCTTAAATACTCTTTCCGGCTCTTTGGTATCTTTTGGAAGTGTATCCCAGGCCTTGGAGGAAGCTGGGGCGGGGTGGGGAGGTGGGGGGAGGGATGCGCGACGGGCGAGTGACGGAAAATTAGGGTTTCGGTAGGTGGCACTCGCTGCACTGACTCGGGGCTCAGCTCTCCCGGGCATGTTGTGGTGCTGCCTTTGGTCCGAGCAGTCCTGAGCAAATGTGCTAAAGGATGAAAACGATTTAAAAAAAAAAAAAGTCATCAAAATACAGGGCCGGAACTTCAGTAAGTATAAATTGTTGTTGTTTGCTGACTGCAGTGTAGGTGCATTGGTTCACAGCAGCAGCGCCTGCCTGTTGTCAGCACAGGCTAACCGCAGCGGGCGTGCTTTCCGTCGGAGCTGCTAAAACTTGGTCTGATTACAGAGTGCATATTCAGGAAGCAAGCAAGCTTGCAAGTATGTACAGTCCAACTAAATCTCAAAAGGTGTCACGTCTGCCTATATAAATTCTAACAGTTTCAGATGTTTTCACATGGAGTGAAAAAAAATACCCCAAAAGATGCAGGAAGACGCTCTCCTCCTGCTAATAGGATATGTAGGCAAACACTTTGGTGTTTTAGCTGTTCCAGAGGCCATTTTCACCTAATGACACACTGTGAGTATGTTTTCCAAAGTAAGAGCTTCACAGATTGCCAAAACTTTCCTGGAAGTGAGCGCAGAAATACATTAAAAAGCAACATATTAAAGCTACGCCAGTCCTCCTCATCTGTGGGGCTGCATAACATGATTTTCATGAGCCCAAGTGCAGCAAGAAGCAAATGCTTCAGAGACCCAGTGGGTGGTGGTGGCAGCAGAGACCTCCATGAGAAGTTCAAAGGCTACGGATGATGGCAACTCTCCAGAAGTCCTGCTGTTCTCTGGCTTGGCTGGAAGTGAAGCAGGATGACGGGGTGAGCACTTGGATGCTGGAAAGCTGGCTTGTTCAGTCCTGCAGCAAGGATCTTGGATCCCACTAGCCATAACCTACCAGTACAGCACTCTTGTAGTTGAAGCACTGGCTTGCTCAGAGTGCTTGAAAGCCATCCTTGCAACATCACACTGGTAGATCAGGCAGAGAAAATCAAAAAATCTGTGACCTAGAAACAAGCTGAGATTTGTGTTCAAATGGCAATCTGATGTGTACTGGTATGAACTGTAAATGCAGCGAAGGATCTGCAGTCAGTTGGCATCAAAAATGGGTAAAAGAGAAAAGTGTAGTTCTAGCTCTCAGCACACTGACTGTTCATTTAGAGTGCCCATTCCTCAGCCTCTTGCTAATTTTCCTTACAGTTGTGGAAACCTGCTTGAATATAGAATGCAAAGTGAGAAAACTGTGGAAGCTGCTTGTAGCATAGGGATAAGGGCTCTGGAGAAACACACATGCATCATCCACAAAGAGTGAAGATGCACGTGCATGTGTGAAACCAGATTATCAACCCTTAATGCTGCATGTTTTTGAAACCGCTACGATGTATTTTGTGCATCTGAAAGTCCACCATGCTCAGGCATCCTGGTCTGTGTAGAAAAATCTCTTCTCTCCAGCCTTGCAAAGCAGTAGGACACTGGTCCTGCCAGAAAGTCTGCAGAGACTTGAGCAGGTCTTTGACTCTTCTGAATGTTTTCCATGGAACAGTGACTGTCAGGATCAGAGCCTTGAGCTACACCTTGGGAAGTGCTAGTGTTTATCTCTCCACTTGATTGCACCCAATTACTTGCTAAGAATATGTTCTTTGAAAAAAGATCTGGAGCTAGATCCTTCTCTCATTGTGACTCTGCCAGCTGCCGTCCCCAAAGCTATTTTTAATCAGACAAGCTTCTCCATCCCTGCCAAAAAACCC